ATTTGGGATAGAAACATTTTTACAGTTTACCACGAATTTGCAATAATTTTAACCTTGTGACTTAGTTACTTTCCTGTTGCTATAGTCAGACACCATGACCAAGGCAACTAGGCAAAAGAGTTTATTTGGGGCTTTCATTTTCAACATCCATGCCGTCATGACAGAGAGCTTGGCAGCAGGCAGGCATCATGCTGGAGCAGTAGCTGAGAGCTTGTTGATCAATGAGCATGAGGCAGAGAGAGCTAATTGCGAACGAATGGACTTTTGGAACCTCAAAGCTCCCTAGTGACACACCTAATGCTTCCCAAACAGTTCCGCCAATGGGACTAAGAATCACATACGTTAGCCTATGAGTGCCGTTCTTATTCAAACCACCACACCTTGTATATGCCTACTGAAAATAGCCTCAAAATATGTGTAAAGGAAGGGGACAGATGGCTCAGTGGGTAAAAGTACTGCCCTCAAGCTTGACTTAAGTTCAATCCCTGGAAGACATACACATACACATACACATACACACACACACACACACACACACACACTAATAAAATAATAATAAATTTTAATACATGTAGTTAACAAAAATCGGTAGAACCACAAGAAAATTATAAAAATCCATGATAGTGAATAACAGCAACACAATATCAAAAGAAATCAAGATTTGAACAACAAAGGTTTGCTTTAAATCTTAAGCTAGAGCTGTATTTTTTAAAGCTTTAGCTTATTTGTTAAAGAAAGACCTGTAGTTTCTAATGAGGAAGATAGGTGAATGTTCTGTATCAAGAAAACTTGGGTAAATGTAAAATAGACACTAAAACCGCTTGTTTAGAAAGGTAGGTGCAATTTGGGAAAGTGCCAGTAGGGGGCAGGAGATTCCAAAAACTGCATTTTAGCTACTGGGCTAGAAGGCTTTTTTGAGGATCATTAAGTAAACTAGAATCATTCTTAGGATGGATAAACTGAAGTGTGGAGAAGTTATGCCATTTGTCCAGGGCCATACAGTGTCAGCCATAATTCAAAACCCTCTCTCCATTCTTTAATATGCCATGAGGAGAGAAAAGGGAACTACAGATGAAATCAAAGGCTTTTCATTTTTCCTAAGTGGTACAAGGACTGAGCCTATGATTAGAACCGTCTTAATTTTTTAAAATGGTGATTGAGGACTGTAAGGTGATGAAAGAGAGTCAGAAAGATAGGCGTCCAGAAGCAACCTCAGCTACATGATGAATTCCCTGTAAGCTGACTATATGAGACTCTGTATTCATACCCAAAACCAGGAAAGAGAGTTGGGCTTGTCTGTAACCGCAGAACTAGGAATGTCTTGGAGACATAATTATAAGTGACAGAATGCAATCTGTTCTCCCATATGGTATGATGGCTGCCACCTTTGCAATCAGAATTGTCTATGAGTGTCTGATCATGTATGGGATACTCAGACCACAGAAAAGCTCTGTTTTTCTGTGCTCCCCTGCTAGTTTAGGCTTAACTGTGGAGAGTTCATCAGAACAGTCTACTCACCCACCCTGTTCTACACGGTGAGGCCACACTGAATACATGCTGTCTTGAAACAAACTCCTTTCTTTTGTCAGAGAGATAAGATGTGCAGAGAACAACTTAGTCTACAAGAGCTAGTTCCAGGACAGCCTCCAAAAGCCACAGAGAAACCCTGTCTCGAAAAATCAAAAAAAAAAAAAAAAAATGTGCAGAGAAGTGTAATGGGTAAAGAAAGCATTATCTAGAGAAGACTCTAGAAACTGTGTATGGTGATGTAGGCCATTAATACAAGAACTTGGGAGGCAGGGGCAAGCAGTTCTTTGTGAGTTTGAGAACAGCTTGGTCTACATAGCAAGTTCCAGACCAGCTGGAGCCATGCAATGAGACCCTGTTTTAAAAACAAGCAAGCAAAAAGATTTCTACCTACAACTATGGTGGCTTAAATGAGTGGCCCTCACAGGCTCATATATTCCAATGTTTGGTTCCCATCTGAACTGTGGAGGAAGTAATTTTGTGAGGGAAGAGACACTGTGCATGTATGCAGGCTGCAGAATAACTTGCAGGGAGTCTGCTCTCTCCTTCCATTATGTGGGACCTGGGGACTGAACTCGGGTTTTCAGGCTTGATGGCAAGTACCTTTACCCCTGCACTGGGTAAAGTTTTTAAGTTAGCACACAGAGCAAAGGTTCTTTGTTTTTTGTTTTCTTTTTTTTTTTAATTGTACTTCAGAAATGTTGTTTGAAGATAAGCCTTCCAGCCAAGTTAGATAGACCTATGTGCAAGTCAGGGGCACTCTTATTTAGCATTGATCATTAGAGTTGGTAATGGCAGAAGTGAGGGAGCTGTCATTCCAGTGACAACAAATGCAGACCCACTTCAAGGTAGGATGTCCTAACATAGAAGATAGAGGCAGGTGGACACAAGTTCAAAGTCATCCTCAACTCCATAGAGAGTGGGAAGACATCCTGTGGTTCATCAGGGTCTATCTCAATAAAAGTAATAGAAAAAGGGCTTTTTGGTTTTTTGTCCAGTTGAGATGTTTTGGGGGTTTGGGGGGGAGGGGTGGGGGAGGGTGGTTTCAAGACACGAATTCTCTGTGTAGCTCTGGCTGACCTGGAAGTTGCTTTGTAGACCAGGCTGCCCTTAAACTCAGAGACCCACTAGCCTCTGCCTCCCAAATGCTGAGATGCTGGCATGTTTCTATCTTTCCTAAGGGCTGGAGATGGCAGGTGGAATATAGCTTGTCATTAATTTTAAGAGGAACAAGAGGTCCAAGTTACCTTTGCAAAAAAAAAAAACAAAAAAAACAAAAAACAAAAAAAACAAAAAGGAGGAGGAGGAGGAGGTCCCATATGACTTTGGGAAGATTTGGGGAACCCTAATATAGGGATAGTTTCTAGCAGACATCAGGTACTTTTATGGCCTTTTCTGATAGTGAGGGAGGCTTGCCTCTATCCTATGAACTTGTCTGTAAACCCTGTGAACATGTGTACTCAGATGTCATGGTTTGGTAAAGTTTAGTTGCCATTCTTTCTATGTAGAGGTTTCTAAGACTGGACAGTCTTTAAAAGTTGAGGAGCTAGCCAGGCATAGTGGTATTCACCTTTAATCCCAGCACACAGAAAACAGGGCAGGCAGATACATCTCTGTAAGTTTAAAGCCAGCCTGGTCCACATAGAGAATTCCAAGACAGCCAGGGATACATGGAGAGCATGGAGAGACCCTGTCTCACCAAAAAAAAAAAAAAAAGGTAGGGCACAATGGTCTGTAACTTCAGTCCCAGATTCCAACTCCCTCGTTTGGCCTATGGAGGCACTGCATGCATGTGATACACAGACATAAATGCAGGCAAAACGCTCATGCTCATAAAATAAAATAAAAAAATAAGTCGAGACATTGGGAAGGGGTTGCTTTATATGAAAATTTATCCATTTTGAACAGCATTTTCATAGTTCTATGAAGTACCTTTCCCGTGAGAGTGGCTCTCGTTCCTCCCATGGGAGTTATCTCCTGTGTTTAACACGTTTTCATTGCTGTCTTTACAGAGCATGGTCTTTTATCACCCAGTGATCCACGCTTCATTTCCTGTCCTGAGGAGGTGGCCTTTGGGCATTTTGATGACATGAGGAGCATCTGGGACCAGGGCCATAAGTTTATGTAGCTGTGTAGTGCTCTCCATAAGAAGATGGAGTTTCACTACGAACTTCTCAATCATATCAACCATATTAGTCCCTTGGCTCCTCATGGATCTGCCCCATTGATTTCCCCACAGTGACTCACTGCTTCCTGTATAGGGAGTTGTGCCACCTCAAAAGTTGGAAGATTATACCTGTATTTCACTCGGAGATTTTAGCCATCAACATTCTGTTCCCCTTCCATCCAGATGGGCAGATACTACAAACCTGTTCTTGGAGTTGGTGTGGATGTTTAAGATCTTTTCTTGTTCTAATTGTAAGGATACGGGCAATGAGCTCTGTTTTAGGGACCGACTTTTGAAAAGTGTGCGCATTTCCTTTAAGATACTAAGGCAACTAACCATTGTGTATTCTGCTTTGAAATGAGCTTTCTATCAAACTGCTGCTGCCTATGAACCATGAACCTCGAAGCCAATGAAGAGGCATATCTTGAAACTAATGAAAATACATTTGTTTATTATTCTTATTATTGTGTGTATGAGGGATGGCTTGCACATGCCATGGATATGTGTGTAAGCCACAGGATGACTTTGTGGAGTCAGTTCTGTCTCCTTCCACCCTTACGTGGGTTTTGGGCATTGAACTCAGGTCTTTTTTTTTTTTTTTTTGGTTTTTTTTGAGACAGGGTTTCTCTGGCTTTGAAGGCTGTCCTGGAACTAGCTCTTGTGGACCAGGCTGGTTTTGAACTCACAAAAACTCTAAAAATGAAAACAGAATTTTAATGTGGAGGGTTTATGCAGTGAGCAAAACAGGTGATTGGAGGTGAGTACAAGTCAGCTCAGGGTTTGTGCGTGTAAACAGTGCTCATGGCTCTTCATGGAAGGCGTGTTCTAAAGTGGCAGCATTAGTGTGGCGGGAGGGTAGAAGCTTTGGCTCTTTGGCATCATAAATTGTCTCTGGCACAGTTTAAATCAGTCTCTACAAAAGCAATCATTACCAAGGTGACTGGGCACCAAGAATTAGAAGCTCTAATTGTAACTATTTAACTTGAGAGTGTGACTAAAGCCTCTAACAAGACAAAAGGAAAACCAGATGTGACAGTGCACATCTGTAATTCCAGCACTTGAGAGGCAAAGGCAGAAGGATCAAAAATCCAAGGTCATCCAAGGCTACACTGAGACTTTACAGCCGTCCTGTGCTATATTAGAGCCTGAATTAAAAATAAAAAGAAAGAAAGAAAGAAAGAAAGAAAGAAAGAAAGAAAGAAAGAAAAGGAAAAAAAAAAGTTGCAAACCACATTATGGGAATTCAGTTACAGGGTAAGCCTATCACTAGCCCAGCAAGCCAGGAGCCCAGTGAGCGTTCAGGGTCTCTCTGATTTGGCATAGTTTATTATAATTAGTATACACACTAAATCATGTAAACTCCATTAAGTAAATGGTTTATCGTCCACTATAACCATACAGTCTGCCATGACCTTTCAGCACCCTATTTTAACACAGATATAATTGATAGAAAATGACAATCATACAAATAGGCTTACAATTTTTTAAAGGAATGATTTTGTTTTGTTTTGTTTTGTTTTTTTTTTGGTCCATATTTCCTATTAACAAACAAGACACATACTTTTTCCTCTTTGGCAAAAGAGGTTAAATCCCCCAGTTAATTCACAGAGCAAACTCAGGGGAAACAACACCGAACATGAGGTACAGCTGAGCCCTGGGCTACTCTAAGTATAATCACATATTTAGGAGAAAACAGCTTTTTACACCACCAGTTCAGTTACCAGCTCTCCACTGGAAAAGCTCTGCTCAGACACTCGAAAGAACATGTTTCAAATAACATTGGCTTGTTTGTTTTCCAGGGATAATGGAAGTCACCGACATACACTGTTTCTGGAGAATGTTGTGAGAAGGGGGCCTTTTAGAGCTCAGCTACGTTTGTAATCTGAGGTTTAGAACTACCTGGCTGTCCCCTGAGCTACAATTGCTCTGCTACCTTCATTACAAGTTGTGAAGAAAAAGCGCCGGTTGCCTTGATCTCAACACCCTGGAAGGTCAGATTTGCTTGTGAACACTGTGCAATAAGGCCAGGCCCTTTCCTTAGAGAAGGAAGTCCCTCCCAGTGCAGCTGGGTCCCACACAGGCCCAGAACACTGGGCTGTCCTCACTCTCAAGAAGAGCCCCAGGAAGCAGGCTGCAGCAGCTGCTGAGCTGATGTGCTTGCTTGCATAATCTGTTGCAGCTGCCAGAGCTAATGGTCACCTGCCCCTTGTGCTTTTCATATTTCAAGTAATTTCGTTTCTTCCAGGAGAAAGAAGGCTTAAAAAAAATGGTTTTAGTTTCTCAAAAAGGAAACAAGCCACCACAACCAGATGGGTTTTTGTTTGTTTTTTTCTGTTTTTAAACAGACCCGCTGCTAACAGTGTCAGATAATCAAACACACTGAGAAACATGAAGATATACTACCACATCTCTGCAAATCCCAAGTTTTCTGCTTCACCCCTGTGTAGAAAACAAACACCACAACCTTCCTTACTTTAATTCATGTTAAATATGACTATACAAATTGCACATTTTACAGCACAGCATCACAGTTAGCAACGAGAAAAGGTCTCCTTGTTCTAGCACGACAGAAACCAAGCGGCTCTGCGGCAGGGTCGGAACAAAACCCGCTGCTCAGATCTGTAAACAGTGAGTGAGGTTATCTCTAGGATCCTGAAGAGACACACACGCATGCGCGCACTTCTTCCAGTGACTCGCCGCAGAGCACGCTCAGTACCACAGCAGGTTTTTTTCACATTGGGTTCACAAAAGAGCAGTCATGGCCATCTGGTTGAGGGGTGCAAGGCCGTTTCTGGGTGCTAAATAACCATCATTCACCCCAGGAGTCATCTGCAATTGAGGGGAGGGGTCTCTGCTGTCCAAGAAGCTACTGGCAGCAGGCTTGTCATAGCCACCACCCACAGGCTTGGGGCTTGCTGGCCTCTGATAGCCTTTGCTCTGGATGGCTCCTGCAGCAAGGGGATACCCTCCGGAGGAAAGGGAGTGTTTGTGAGTGGGCCTGGGCCCGGGGACTCGGTAGCCGTCCTGCGTGGAAAAGGTATGTGCTCGCAGCAGGTGTCGCTCCACGATGGGTGTGGCGTACTCCGGTTCCGAGTGCGTCAAGGGCAATGCATACTCATGGCGGCCCAGGCGGTGTGGACAGTCATAGTGGCCACTGGCCTCAGTATTCACCTTGGCCTCCTCGGTGTCTGTGTCCATGGGCCGGAAGGTAGAGCCCTTTCTCGTGACTGTTCCAGTGCCAATCATGAGAGGCTGCTGATAATCTGAAACCAAAGGAGCATCATTAGTGCACCAGCCAGCGGGAGGCCGAGTCAGGGGGTCGCAGAGTATACCTCCCCTTCCAGACAACTCTCCACTGGGTGACTAAAGTGTCTGAGGTTCCATGGTAAATACGAAATGCAAGTCAGATGCTGCAGCTGGGGCTAAGCCACCATACTGCCTATTTCAAGAAGCCTCAAAGGGCCACCGAATCTTAGAGACAGGAGACATTCGTTAGGGGGAAACTGTTTTGTAGAGGGGAGGTATTTACTTACGTATTTATAGACAGGGTCTTGTGTAACCCCGACTAGACTTGAACTTGTGATCCTCTTGCCTCAGCCTCTGGTGTGCTGAGATTACATGTGTGAAACTTCATGCCCAGTTTAGGGGTGACTTTTACTTATTTATTTGAGATGGGGATCTCATGTAGTCCAGGTTGACTTTTTAACTTGTTACATAGTGGAGGACAACCTTGAACTCAAGCTCCTCCTGGGATACCTATCACGTGATGGCATTATAGGTGTTGGCCATTGAGCCCAGTGACTTCCAAACTGGCCTTTGGAGGTGGAGATAACCGCCCCCCCCACCAAAAACAAAACAAACAAAACAAAGAGTGTGTGATGCCACTCTTTGTGCCAACTTGACTACATCTATTATTAGTAAAACCCAAATGGTTGAACACACCTGTGAGGGATTTTTTTGTTTTTCTTAATTAAATGAAATCATGTGAAGTGTGAAGACCCACTTTAACCTTGATCTTTGAGGTGGGAAGACCCACTGTTAAGCTGGGCCACACCTTCTGCTGGCAGTCTATATAAAGGACATGGAAGAAGGAAACTTGGCTCCCTCTGTGCCTGCTTGCTCTCTATAGCAAGTCTACTCCTTTGCTGGCATTTGAGCCTATTTCTTTGGGATTCGGGAGTATACTGATAGCCAGCTGAGACAGTTATCCTCATGGACTGAACAACTACTGGACTCTTGGTCTTTCCATTGGTAGACAGCCATTGTTGGACTAGCTGGACCACAGCCAGTAAGCTATTCTAGTAAGTCCTTTTCTTACACACACACACACACACACACACACACACACACACACACACACAGAGAGAGAGAGGGGGGGGGGAGACTTATTCTATAGGTTCTGTTATTCTAGAGAACCCTGACTAATCCAGAGGAGAAGGAACAACTATGAAGACAGTTGGATGTGGAGAGAGAATGAAAGGACATAGGGTGGTTTAATGGAAGTAAGAGTTAAGCAATATGTCTAGGGCTTAGTGATGAGCATCCAGATAATGAAAGAGCACAAACTTGATGCCAAGACTCTTCTAAGACAGTGAAATAACTCGTCTTTTTAGAAATGAATAGGACAGTCATCACATTACAACAGGAAAAAGCAGCGGGAAACCAAGTAACCTCGAAACTCACATAGTAACCAGCAACCAAGTTGGGACTTGAAGCTGTTCCTAGTACGGGCTGTGTTAACCATGTGTCAGATCATGGGGGCTGTGGAAGTCTCACTCAGAATCCACACACTAGCAGTCTAAGATCACTTTGAGGGCAAACTGAAGAAGATTAACAGTCAAGAAATCAAACTGGAAGAGAAGAAATAGAGACACTGACCACTCTGACTGACAGGTCCCTTCAGCTCAGAGGTAGGAGAGATGTATTAATTCATCATTCAATTGGTCTTTCCTGACCCTCTTTCCCAGGACTGTAATAAAAACCTGGGCAGCACTGGGTGTTGGTGGCGCACGCCTTTAATCCCAGAACTCAGGAGGCAGAGACAGGAGGATCTATGTGAGTTCGAGGCCAGCCTGGTCTCCAGAGCGAGTGCCAGGATAGGCTCCAAAGCTACACAGAGAAACCCTGTCTCCAAAAACCAAAAAAAAAAACAAAACCTTAGTCAAATAGACTAAGAGCTTCCAGAGACTAGCAATGCTGCAGGCCCTTGTGTCATTATGTGCCCTGCAGGTGTACTCGACTCAGCTGAAGCGACTATTAACTAATATCTTGTGTCAGCTTGAAATTCTGCACAGAGTACAGGAAAATAGAGGCACACTTCTTCTCTAATAAATGACCTTAGCCTTAGCGCTGTCCTGTTTTCTGTCCCCACAAGCAGAACCTCCTAAGAGCACGGTCCCTGGGGTAGGACACTCACCTGCCATAACACTAGTGATAAGATCCAACTTTTGTGTCACCTCCTTTTCATTGTCATAGCTGATGGTAAATTCCGTCGACTGATGCCTAGCAAAGGGATATTTAATCTGCTTCCAACAGCCTGAAATAAAGAGAATATGAAACAATACATCACATGTAATTCACATTTATGTATTCCTCCATGTGTCAGAAGTCAGTCTCTTGCATGATGCTGATAAACCCATAGCCACAGCTCTTCAGTTGTGTGGGCTGAGCACGGCATGAAACAAACCCTTTAATATGTACATTACCCACTCATGGTATGTTTGTTTGTTTGTTTGTTTTGAAATAGGGTCTCTTTACATAGCCTTGGCTGTACTGGAACTCATTATGTAGACCAGGCTTGAACTCACAGAGATCCGTCTGCTTCTGTCTCCTGAGTGCTAGGATTAAAGGTGTGCACCACCATGCCCATCTCCCACTGATGGTGTTAATTGCTAGCACAAACATGGCAGCCCACAACCATCTGTAACTCTAGTCCCAGGTGATTCAACAGCTTCTTCTGGACTCCAGGGGCACCAGGCATATATATATATATATATATATGTATGTATGTATGTATGTATGTATGTATGTATATGTATATGTATATGTATATGTATGTCTACAGACATACATGTAGACAGGCAAAACACCCATACACTTTTTAAAAAATGGGTGTAGCCTCCAAGTTCTGGAACCATCTGGTCCAATTTTCCATCATCCACTTAAGACTCGTACGCCAGGAGACAACACAGCTGTTGTTTAGACTTGGCCTTTTCTTAGCATCTTCAGGCCTCCACTGTATTTTCTGGGGACAGATCAGGCAGGGACTGTGTGCATGTGTGTGTTCTGGAGAATTCTTTAAACACAGGTCAGAGGTACCCACCTGTGATCCCAGCACTAAGGATACCAGGGCAGGAGGATTGCTGGGAGCTCCAGGCCAGCCTGGGCTTTATAGTGAATTCAAGGGAAGCCTGGGCTACATATTGAGACACTGTCACAAGGACACAGAAAACTACCAATGCAAGAAGCAAATGGCAGACACAGAAATCCTAGAAGATGCCAGGTCTATTTGTGCCGTCCTATAATCTTAAGCTACTTGGGAGGCTTAGGCAGAAAGGAAAAAGGTTCAAGGCCCGTCTGAGCTACAAAGTGAGTTTAAGACTGGCCCAGGAAACATAGAGAGACCCTATTTAAAATAAAAAGTGAAAAGGGATCAGAGGGATTAGGGAAGTAGCTCAATGGTAGAGTTCTTGTCTACCATAGTTTAATCCTCAGTTGTGCAAAGAAGAGGTCTGCAAATGCTTCATGCATGTATTTTTTTAATTGCCGTGATTATTATTGTACAATGTATGTAATGTGTGTGAGTGTGTATGCCCATGCCATGGTATGTGTGGAAATCAAGAGGATGACTTCCTGAGTCAGCTCTCTTCTACCCTTATGTGGGCTCAGGGATCAAACTCAGGCCATCTCCATAGCCCTGTCTGTATTTAGTTATTAAATTTTGATTCTAAGAATAGAACCCAGGCCAAGCATATGTTCAGTTTGCTGTTGTCACTTCTTCATGACAGACAGGGTAGTAATCTAATTTTCCATACATATTCACAAATGAAAAGAGTTTAAATGGGATGTGGTTCATGCTAAATACAGATATGATGGCATGAACACCCTGAAGTAGAATATAGACACAATAAATTTCTTCATTGTAGCTTTGCAGCTACAGAACTTACCTTTGATATATATGTATTAAAGATATCAAATGGAAAAACGGCATGCTGTTCTTAGAAGAAAAAAGAAATCTTGCGCAGTGTTGCCTGGAATGTGAATCATACTCCTGCCTGGTTTATCTACTCTCTGTATACTACCCTCCTGTGATGGTCAACTTGACAATCTAGATTCACCTGGAAAATGGGCATCTGGTAGGGGGATTATCTTGACTGTATTAACTGAGGTGGAAATACCCACCCAACATGATAGACCCATTCCCTGCCTGAGATCCTGGACTGCAAATGGAGAGGGGGAACTGGGCAGCAGCTTGCATCCATCTCTCTGTGTTTTCCCGTCGTGGATGCAATGTGACCAGTTTGCTTTAAGTTCCTGCTATCTCTACTATCTCTGCTATCTCCACCACAATGGAAACAACTCCTCTTCCTTAAATTGCTTTTTTTCAAAGTATTTTTAAAAATATTTTATTTATTATGTATACAACATTCTGCTTCCATGTGTATCTGCACACCAGGCAGGGCACGAGATCTCATAACCAAAGAATGTGAGCCACCATGTGGTTGTCGGGAATTGAACTCAGGACTTCTGGAAGAGCAGTCGGTGCTCTTAACCTCTGAGTCATCTCTCCAGCCCCTTTTCAAAGTATTTTATTACAGCAACAGGGAAAGAAACTAAACCACTCCCGTTTAGTCACTTTATGATGCACGAGAAGCAAAATGGTGATACTGGCCTTTCTATTTCAGTATAACTATCTTATTCCGTTATTATTTAGCTGTTTGTTAATCTCTCACTGTCTAACATGTAAACTACACTTTATCAGAGCTATACATGTAAAAACTTGCTCTATATATTTAGTTCTATCTACAGTTTTGAGCAACTACTGTGTCTTGGAACACATTGCCCATAGACAAACCACAGATAAAGGGGCTTACTGGGTCTAGAATCCAGGACCTTGCACATGCTAGGCAAGTGTTCTGCCACTAAGTCCTACAATTGTCCTGCATTAGCAGACCTTGCCTCTTTCCTTAAAGATAGAATAAAACTGTAGATGGAGTTTTGAACTAACCTGTTTTCTGAGCCTCTGCTGATACATACGGATTTCCTTTTTTCTTCCTCCTATTAAGACAAAAAGCTCTACTAAGTGTTCATAAGCCAACTGGTCCACCTTGTCTCTTCAGATATGAATATCAGAACAGTACTTGTCTCTTCATATATGAATAGCAAAATAGTACTCACCTCATAGGCTGTTCTGAAGATGGAATGAGCTAGAAGCTATCATATGCTTACAAAGCCATATGTATATACAGGAACATATGTAAAAACATCTTATAATTAAGCTTACAATATTTTCACTGAAAGAATGAATTATTGTTATATTATATATGTATCTATATATTATTGTTTGATTTTCTCAGTGGCTCGGGAAACCATTAAAACCCTTAAGTAATTTGTAATGATCACTTTTACATACTTTTTTCTATGAAGTACAAATTATAGATGCCTTTAGAGGCAATTAACATTATCAGTTATGTTGAATGTGTTAACATGTTAATATAATAATGAACACATTTATGAGTTCTAAAGATGTTTAAAAGGTAAAATGAGAACTTGAGAATATTTTCTACTTTTGTTTAAATCCAACTTCTAACAATTGTTTTAATAATAAAAATGGCACATAGTGTTATGTGAAAGATTCAGTACCATCATGGTGAGTGCTGGGCTGTTTGGTGACATGGGTGAGAGCTGAACCTAGGTCCCAGCTCCTCTTTCTAACACACTCTCCATGGCAGGAAGAGGGAGACTTGAAAAGGAGTATGTCAGCCCCCAGATGTTAACTCCGGCAGTGCTCATCTGGGAAGCCTTTATCAAGGGTTTCTATGTGCCAAATGTAAATTATTTCGCAGGCGCTGGGTAATTTCCATTCCTTTGATCTCTGCCTATCCCGTGGCTCATTTGGCCTGAGGAGCTGAAGCCATTCATAGGGTAACGCGTCCCAGGCGACTGCTGCCAGCCTTTATTAAGGAACGGGATTCTTGGGCCGGGATCTCCGCTCTGGTAAGCTTATGCTCTCCCCTCAAGATGCATTAAAGCTTTCCTGCAGAAGGATCCGAATGTCCTGTGTGATTCTTGCCGGCGAGAATATCGCGCGGGACATGATGGGACTGCTTAGAAAGTAGCACTGGATATTTCTATGCCAACCTCTACTTAACTCAACTTATTTTTAAAATATAAACTAGCATTTCATCTCTAAAGAAGTCATGTTGTTTCTTTAATACACATCTATCAGAGGCGTAAGCTTTGGGGGTTTATGAATGTGTTAGGATTATCAACTTCATGGAATTCAGACTTGCCATAGAAAAACACCTCTGGGTTTGTTTTTCTATGAGAAAGGTTTAACTGAGATAGGAAGATCCACCCTAATTGGGGATGGTATCATTCCATGGGCTGGGGTCTCAGATTAAATGAAAAGGAGAAAGAGCCAAGTAACAGCATTCATCTCTTTGATTCCTGCCTATAGATGCGATGTGACCAGCTACTTCACACTCTTGCTATCATGGCATCCCCAACACCACAGACTGTATATCCTTAAACGTGAGCCCAAGACAAACCCTCCCTTCCTTAAGTTACTTTTGTCAGAGTGATGAGAAAAGTTAGCAATAAACTGTAATATATGTAATTAGAGGAAAAATGTAAAGGTGTAAATCCACATACTTTCTGAAGACAGCAAAGACCCCCATTCCAGCCAGAAGGAGAATGACGAAGATCACTGCCGGAATAACTATGGTTGTAATATTCATTCCTAGAGGAGAAAGCCACCCTGTTAGAACACAAATCACCTATAAGCAAACTCAGGGTCTAAACTGCTTCAGAGCTGGGTGCAGTGGTGTACAACTTTACTCCCACCACTAGGGAGGCAGAAGCAGGAGGGTCTATATGAGTCTCAGGCCAGCCAAGTATACACACACATATAGACCCTGTTTCAAAAAACCCCAAAATAAAGCTCAATAAGCAAAACGGCTTTCCCCAGAGGGGAAAAGACTATGCTCCGCCTTTACAGTGCTACAAAGTAAAAGTTTTATAGTGTTACAAAGGAAAGGAATGGTGCAAACTCTGAGCCAAGTCTAGAAAAACAAAACTGCTCCTGCGCCAGAAAGGGCAGCTTTCCATGCTCCCAGTATTAGTTTTTACTTAGAGCTTCTTGCTGGCTTCAGGCTAATTCCCCCAGCCAGGAGACAGCTGAAGGGAGGAAGCTGCATGTAGCACTCCCAGAGAAGCTCTCATATTCAGTGCACACCTTGGGGTAGGGTCAACAGGTAACTGTTGAGAGCCAAGGGCTCTCACTGTCATTGCTGTGGCACTTTGAGGAGAAAATGCGACTGATGTCCTCAGGAAGCATTTTACTCTGATACTCTTTTTTAGCCTCAAATGTGGAAAGTAAACAAATGGAGGATATCACTCTGCACCTTTCTTTGCAATCCTTGAGAAGAAAGTAAAGGACAACCAGAAGTAAAAATGTTAGCCTGGCAAGATGGTCCACATCTTTGATCCCAGCACCAGACAGGCAAAGGTAGATAGGCGGATCTCTGTGAGTTCAAGGCCAGCCTGGTCTACATATCTCATTCCAGGCCATCTAAGGTTACATAGTAAGGGCCTGTCTCAAAAAACCAACAACCAAAGTAGCAAGTAGCAATGTATAATTCATGAACAAGAGCTAAAAAAAGTTTTTTAGATGGATATAAAATACAGGTAAATTCCAGTACTGTCATTCATAAGAGTAAAACTGTCAAGAAAATCTAACAAATATTATGGAGGGGATTAGCTAATTAATGGCATATCCGTATATAGTAATTTAGAAAATACTCATAATTCAAAGTTAAATGAAAAATGTATAATATGCTACTGCTTATGACTATGTGTGTACACACACATGTTTACCACTCTGTTTTTTCAGAGTGGGTCTTGTAGCCCACGCTGGTTACAAACCTGAGGATGATCTTCAACTCCTGATCCCTTTGTCTCTACTTTGAGGTAAGTCACATGCCTAGCAAAGATCAGACCCAGCACTACTAAAGGAAAAAAATAAAACAAAAACAAAACAGAAAATTCTTGAGCTACAAAACCTGTGTGGGTTTTGCAGGACTAAATTCCCACAGACAACTTCTGAACAATGATATCCTTACCTGTGGAGGTAAACAGAAAGCGCTTTTCCGACAGGGAGCCACTGAAATAAAAGACCAACAGAGGCAGGTGAGTTGCTTCGATAGACATTGGAGCTGAGCACAGGGCTGCCCTGTAAGGTTCACAAACCTACCACCACCCCATGAGTGAGGGTCACAATCCTGCCAGCTTGCTGCTGTTGTTTTCATCAGTGTTTAAAACCATCCTAAGTTAAAAGAAACAGGTGACAAGGACCAGACTCTGTAACATGACCTTTCATGATAGTATGGGTTAATTGTACAAAATGCATTTCTACTATGACATTCTCACACATGTACACCATTACACCAGAAGAGGGCATCAGATCCCTCTACAGATGGTTGTGAGCCACCCAGTGGTTGCTGGGAATTGAACTCAAGACCTCTGGAAGAGCAGCCAGTGCTGTTAACCGCTGAGCCATCTCTCCAGCCCCCTTGTTTTCAGTTTTTAAAGGAATCTCCATACTGGGATGAGAACCCAGCTTTTGTGACCCTCTGGGAAAGATACATACTGTGGGGAATATAAGAGCCCCTCTTTTGTCTGATATTTCAATTTTCTTTCTCCTAATGTCCCCAAACTAAGAACTACATTGGAAACGAGGTCCCCCAAAGATCACATCAACCATGTGCTGCAGCATGAACACCTCTTTTTGTTCTCACTGCACTAATACATTCACTTGTACTTTGGGGTTGTTGCTGTCAATCAGAGAGAGTAAGTATAGAAAGGATAACTTTAAAACATGAAGCTGAGTCTGTGAGATGGCTCAGTTGATAATGGGCCCACTGAGTGATCCCTGAAATCCACTCTTCCTACAAGTTTTCCTCTGACCTCCACATGGATGCTGTGACATATATGCATATGTCACATGCACATACACAATTCTCAAATGCAATGAGAAGTTTTTATAGAAAGTGAAGACATGATGAGGGAAGGTTCTGGTAGCAGCTCTCTGCCTGGCTTTCCTCCATTATCAGCTGGCCTCTAATGTGCATTTGGCTCTATCAAACTAACTAAATGGGTCAAGGTCACACTAAGGGTAGACAAAACTCCTTAAAAATTACCACTGGGGGGGGGGTGGCGCAGGTTTCTGAGGCACCCACAATGAATGAATTCCATCAAATTGCAGGAATAAGAAGCCTCTCCCAGGGCTCCAGAAACAGTCAGGAACAATGAAGGTAAACACAAAGAAGAAGGCCTTCCCTTCTGATGGTCAGAGCCTCCTCCTTGGGATGAGGTCAGCCCTTCTTCCTGATTCCATTCTGGTCTCCTTAAACCGAGGAAGTGGCCTGACCCCCGGATGAATCCCAGCAGAATCTGGATATTTACTTTAGGGACCCCTTCTTCCTCAGCTGCAGCACTTCCTTCTTTGTTTTTTTCCTGAACACCAAACACTCATGTGTGGGAACAGAAGTTCAATGACCGAATGTACGGTGCTTCCCCAAGGGCAAAACATCACAGACAAAAACAGCTGCTCCCTGAAGATTTGGGATCTAAACAAGTAGAGGAGACTGGCTTAACATACAGTGGACTCCCTGCTCAGAACAAAGATCAGGGAGAAATCACAAGAGCTAGGAGGAAGTACAGCCCTTGGTATAATTCTGGACTTTCTACTCCCACCAAAACAAAAACAAGAGAATTCATTCAAATACCTACAAGATAGACTGCCAACTTCCTACAAGTTGCTAATCATATACATGCCAAAGATATACATAACTCTAATTCTATGTAACTTGATGACTTCTGACCTATTTAATTTCTACATGAAAATTATATTTATGCAGGATGTCTTACTGCTACATGGGTAATTGACAGAATGAAACCTACTTAAAAAAAATTCCTATATATACAGTGTGCTGTTTGCATGTTTTGCCTACATGCCAGAAGAGGGCACCAGATCTCATTATGGATAGTTGTGAGCCACCTTGTGGTTGCTGGGAATTGAACCTAGGACCTCTAGACGAGCAGTCACAATCCTGCTTCACCCTCCCACGTGCTGGCAAGCAAGATAGCCCACACTCTTATGAGGGTTGTCTTATTAAGGTTCCTATTGCTATGATAAAACACCATGACCAAAAAAGCAAGTTGGTGAAGAAAAGGTTTATTTGGCTTACAATTCCATATCATAGTTTATCACTGAAGGCAGTCAGGACAGAAACTCAAGCGTGGCTAGAACCCGGAGGCAGGAGCTGATGAAAAGGCCATGGAGGGGTGCTGCTTACTAGTATGCTCAAGCTTGCTTTCTAAAAGAACCCAGAACCACCACAATGGACTGAACTCTCCCATATTGATCACTAAGAAAATGCCCCAAAGGCTTGCCTACAGTGCTGTCTTACAGAGGCCATTTTCTTAACTGATGTTCCCTACTCTCATATGACTTTAGCTTGTGTCAAGCTGACCTAAAACTAGGCAGCACAAGGACGGAACAGTGAAATACAGTCTTGAGCTGTCCATGTGCAACAGAGGTCTGGGGTGCTGGCAGGTCAAGTACTTATCTAGCATGCACAGACAGGGCTCTGGGTTCGAGCTTCAGCAGTGAATAAACTGGGTGTACACCTGTAATCCCAGACCTGTAGTAGCAGAGGCAGAAGGATCAAGTGTTCAAGGTGGGCAGAAAACAATAGTTACAAAGGGGACTGGGGTAAAGTAGTAAGAATAGAGACCACCAGGTGGAAAGTGAGTGCAGATCTAAGCCTCCCGATTCACTTCCTAGTTGTACATCCCGAAGTGTGTGCAGTTTCTGTGCTAAGCCTCACCCTTGGGCTGGAACTCTATGGAAACTTGTCCAAAACACAGTTATAGTAAAAGAAAACATTTCAAGGGACAGAGAGAGAACAGGAGAGAGGTGGAGTGAGAGCCTAGGAGATCTGGCATTCCCAGGAGCACATCTCCCTCACTAATAATCCACCTACCGAGAGCCTCCTCCTCCACCCCTCACCACTGCCCTCTCAGGTGTGTGGGCACCACACTTTGGAGCAGCCTACATTCACACAGCTCTGGTGTTTCCTAAAGTCTAAGGAAATCTTAATGTGTGCAGAGTTTTGTTTGAAATCAATTTACAAACCCACCCCCATGAGGCTCACAATAAAAGCCATTGCTATCATTGATTGATTGACTGATTGCTGCCTTTCCCAGTCCTCAAGAAACAGTCTCTAGAAATCTGAGGGTGGGAGAGGAAGCTTTGGTTCTATAAATATTTATTTCGGTTTCCTGTCCTCTTCAGTATTAGGTATAACTGGAGATAACCAGTAATTTACTGAAACTATAAAAATCTGAAAGAAAAGAAGCACAAATTCTCTCCCACAGATGCGCTGGGAGCAGAAGTGCCCCTCCACACCAGGGCTCAGGCCATTGTAACTTCCATGCTGGCACAACCAGGATGCTTGCCTGCTGCCATGTTTATTTTCTACACAGGGACCAAAAGTGCTGTTGAAACTTTCAAACATCTTTAGAGATTTATTTTATTTTTAAGTGATAAATAAAAAAAAGGAAATAAAGAGGAAAGGAAAGGACATGACTGTTCGTAGGTGTGGTGGAGGAGAAAGTTTATTGTAGATATGAGGGAGAGCACAGCCAGAGACAGGGACATCGGGGAGAGTCCAGAATAGACATGACCAGGCTGAGCTGGGCCATATGGGGAGACGGGGAAGAAAAGGAAGAGGAGAGAGCGGGGACCAGATGCAGCAGCCAGGAGGCCAAAGGTACAAAAGGGGCCGGTAACCAAAATGTCTGGATTATATAGAAGAGAGCCTCTGGAGGAAGGACAGCCCAGCCCCTGGGCTGGAGAGTTCAGGGTAGGGGGTGGGGTATGTCAGACATACCCTGAACAGGTAGGAACTGAGGGATGCTGGGAGAACCTGGCAGCCAGATCCAGCTTTGATAATGTTAAATAGGCATGTCAGCTGTCTGCCCAGTGCTTGAAACTTAATAGTATATGAGTGTTTTGCCTTAATGCATGTATGTGCACCACTTACATGCCTGGTGTGTGAAGAAGTCAGAAGAGGTCATCAGATACCCTAGAACCGAAGCCATCGATAGTTGTGAGCTACCAATGTGGGAACTGAACTTTGGTCCTCTGGTAGATCAACAAGTGCTCTTAATTGCTGAGCCATCTTCCAGCCCCATCACAGATATTTTCACAGCTGACTACCACTTGGCATCACATCCCGCTGGCCCTTCTAAACCGCAACTTGATTAATTATGGCCTCAGGGCTCTCTCCTCTCAGAACACAAGCTTAGTACTTACTGCCGGGAGAGCACACCGTTGGCCAGGACTCCTTCATAATGACTGATGCCTTTGCTCTGCAGCAGGTTGATGTGGCCACCTAGTTCGTCTGCGATGATCCCTGCATGGATGGCAGCTTTGCATAATAAAGAGGTCTGAAATAGAGTGACACCATCATTCAGCACTCACAAAAGAACACATCTGAAACAAAGATGGACTTTGCTACATTTGTTCGTTTGTTCGTTTGGGGTTTGGTTTGCCTGTTTGGAGATAGGGTCTCATTCTTTAGCCCTGGCTGTCCTGGAACTCACTCTGTAGACCAGGCCGGCCTCAAACTCAGAGATCTGCCTGCCTTTGCCTCTGGAGTGTTGGGAGTTTTCTAATTTTGCTTGCTTAGTCATTTATAGTAAGTGGTAGCCCTACCCATGAATAATGTCTCTCTATGGCCAGAACCTCATGGAAAGTCCTAGCTGAAAATCTGAACTGAGTCAAGCTCTGAGCCTTGTTCTGCTGCATTTAATGAGTCTCTCCAAACTGCCATTCATGTTAGAGAAGCCTCAAGAGCAATTTCAGACTAGTGGATCCAAAGAACCTGTCTGCCAAAACTGCTCACTATGCTCATGAGCAAATAAAATGGTGGCTATTTCAAGCCACTGAGTTCTGGGTAAATGGTTAAGCACAAAAAGATAAGGGACTAAGTCTCTTAGATTTGGTTTAGAAGACAGACAGTCCTAAACACAGTGGAAGGCAACCTAGGTAATAATCAAGAAAGTGAGCCTTCTGTACCACAGTTTCATTTATATTAACTCAGTGATTTGGTATGGAGTCAAAACCAAGATGGCTGACAGCCACCATATGGAACAGAAAGTTTCATGTGGAACAATGAAAAACATCCCAGCATTCATTTAACTAATTTTCTGAATCCTTTCAGCAAGTCTAAAAGCCTGTGCATGCTGGGCCACTGTGGAGGCTTCATGCAGCTATATACAGTTTGGCATATGCAGCAAGAACAAGAGCAACTGGCTCTGATTAAGACAGGTTAGGGGGTGGCATTGGCTCTGATGAGAAGTTAAAGAATGACAAGAACTGTGGGGTAACCAGGTCCAATGGTTCCCAGGAACAGATGTGGGTGGGAAGAGGTATTTGGCCTAAGAAGACAATCCAGAGCTATGTGCTATGAGCTATCAGCCCTGTAGCTAATACCCAAACCAGGAGGACAGTAGGGTCATGACACTGGGTCTCAGTCACTGGACTCCATTGTGCTCATGACAGTGCGGATTCCCTGTCTCAAAGGAACCATTTCCTCAACTCTTAGTTACAGCACTTGGAGAAGCCATGAGATAGATGGTATTTGGAACCAAGTATCTTGGAGTTGCAACACCACCAAGGAATTCCAAGATTTTATTTTTTAAAGAGACTTCATATTTCCCACCTGAGGTTTGGCAAGGGAAGTCAGTTCTGTAGTAACTGACGTCATTACCATAAATAGACCTATGACAAAAAAAAGTAGAGACTGATGTGGATGACACCTTCTGCTTTGGAAACAAGGATAGACTTAGAATGAGGGGAAAGGATGATGTTCCTTAATAGAGACCTATCCTGCATTTGAAAATAACTTCCCCGAATCTGCCTTCATTAGGAAGTGTTCTTCATAGTGAAAAACACCACTAACCCCAGCAGTTATGAAGTGGAGACAGGAGGACGAGGAGTTCAAGGCAGTCCCCAGCTACACAGGTGGATCAGCCTGGACTACACGAGACTCTGTCTTGGCAAACCAGAAATTGGGCTGGGGAAATGGTTCAGTGGGTAAAACGCTTGCTGTGCCAGTGTGGGTGCCTGAGTCCTCAGATCCTTAGGACCTACATAAAGCCAGACACAGCAGTGACTGTAATCCCAGCAGTCCTAGGGTGAGAAGAGAGGCAGAAACAGAAGGATGCCTGGAAAGTCAACTAGAGTGTCATACTCAGGGGCAAACAAGAGACTGTTCAAACAGGATGGAAGGCAAAGACAGACATCTGGGGTTGTTCATTGTTCTCTGACCTCCACATGTGCATTTACACACACACACACACACACACACACACACACACACACACACACACACACACACACACAGACGCACACGCACGCACACACGCAATACATGCACATATGCACGTACTGGTGGGAGGACTGGAGAGATGCTCTTTCAGACCTACATTCAATCCCCAGCACCCACATGACAGCTAACAACCACATGTAACTCCAGTTCCAGAATATTTAAGTCCTCTCTCTAGTTTCTGTAGGCACTGTATTCATGTGGTACACAGACAGATATGTAGGCAAAACATTCATACACATAAAAGGGTTTTTTTTAATCTCAAAAAATAAGTAGTAAAACATGGGTGGGAAAATGGGGAGGAGAGGCAGGCATCTCTCCCTTGCCCATGCTGTCGTAAGACATGAGTAATGTGCACAGTTCATAAACTGTAAGAAGGCCCCAATTTAATGCCTTTTTTTTTAAATTGAGTTTCTCTGGTCATGATATCTTTTCACAGCAATAGAAAACTAAGACATTCTACCCACAGCAAATAAATGCAATGTAATTATTTTAAAAGGGACTATATAGCACAGTGGTAGAGCACTTGCTGAGCATGTACAAGGCCTAAGTTTAATTCTCAGTCCTATCTGCAAAAATAAATAACTACATAAAATTTTAAAGAAAAGATAATGCAGGGCTGGAGAGATGGCTCGGTGGTTAAGAGCACTGGCTGTACTTCCAGAAGTCCTGAGTTCAATTCCCAGCAACCACATGGTAGCTTATAACCATCTCTAGTGGGATCTAATGATGGTTTCTTCTGGCATAAAGCCATACATGCAGATAGAGTGCTCATACATAAAATGAATAAATTTGCCCCAGGCATTTCAGGGAGGGGAGTGCATCTCTCCCTTGCCCAATGACATGAGTAATGGGCACAGCTCTCCCATGCTCACAACTTCAGAACTGGCTCACCCACATCTCTGCCAACAGGGTCAGCTGTATTGTGCTGACCAGGCAAGGCACAGGATCCACTTTCCCAAGTGCTGCAGCTGGTAAGGCTCAGCTACCTTGCCAGCTGGAGGTGGTAGGGACAAGGTGAGAGGGCACCTTTTCTTTGTTCCTACCACCACACCACAGATGAGGGAAGGGGGTACCAGTTACGTCCCTCTCATGCCCTCAGGGCTGGTTAATCCACACCCCTGTCTACTGGGTCAACTCTGTTATGCTGCCCAAGACAGGCGGAGGGCCTGTTCTCCAAGTGCTGCAGCTGGTGAGGGGTTGCAGCTTGCACAGTTAAAGCTCTCATTTGTCTGCTTTCACTAAAAAACTTTCTGCATGGTAATGCATGCCTATAACCCCAGCATTTGGGAAGTAGAGGCAGGAAGGTCATGCCGTCAAGGCCAGCCTCAGCTATATATCAGACTAAGGTCAACCTGGGTTGCATATGATCTTCGGCAGCTAAGGATATAATCGATGGGAGGAGGGCTTGCTCAGCATATTCCTGTCTGGGCATCCTGGCTCGACTCTAACTGCATTCATTACATGTGCGGAAGTTATTTCTCTGCTCTGGCTTTTCTTCCTAAATCAACTGGACAGCGACAAGGATAGACTAGATTATCTAGATTATGTGGTATCTACTCTGGATGCCTGCCACCTTCTGCCTCAACCCAGTGCACCCTTTGTAGCGTCCACACAGGCTTGTCTCCCTCCCGATGCTCCTGGATGGAAACAAGTTAGCTGAGGTCTGCTGGGCAGCTGTTCTCAGTGCCTTGAGTCATTTCTTCCTCAGAATTCTGCCTGGTGACTGATGACCAGCTCAAGAGCTATGCTCTCTACAGAGCTCCCAATGACTGACAGACCAGAGGTCAACGAGCAACCATGCCCACCAGGGTAACTGGTCATGAAATATTTGACTTCCCCCAAGAACAGAAGGAATCCAATGGTACAGATGCCTGCTAAGGAAGGCTTTAACTACAGATACATTTCCCTGTGTTTAATGCTGGGCACAGGATACATCTCAGGAGACTAGTCACCAGATCTGTCCATTAAGCCATCATGGTTAAAATGACCAGTAATTCCCACAGTTATTTTCTTATTAACAATTGCTCAGCCTACAATTTAGGCATAATTCATGCTATGAATGCTCCCCATATCACTTTAAAAATTGACCTTCATTAAATCTGATTTTAAAAAAGCACCCCCCCTTGAACAATTAATACTTTGATTTTCTAGTTAGTTTTGCAGGGCAGGTATATCACAGTCAAATGCACATACAGGCAAACTACATCATTGGTTTGTGTTAATTAGTGATTTGCCTTAGACAAAATTCATTAACTAAACTGAAATAATAGTGTTATACTCCTTGAAGGAGCAAGGACACACACACACACACACACACACACCTCTAGTTCTTGAAGCCAGCTTTTTGTTTGTTTGTTTGTTTGTTTTTTTGTTTTTCGAGACAGGGTTTCTCTGTGTAGCTTTGGAGCCTATCCTGTCACTCGCTCTGGAGACCAGGCTGGCCTCAAACTCACAGAGACCCACCTGCCTCACCTCCCGAGTGCTGGGATTAAAGGCATGCACCACCAACACCCGGCTAAAGCCAGCTTTTTTATTTTTAAATTCATATTTATGTATATGTCGATGTATATTATTTGCACATATTTAGGAACTGTAAGAGGTACCCTTGTCATACTGTTCATTTGACTTAGGAAGACATGAGGATTTTAAGTGTGAAGCAGCCTGAGCTACACAGGGACTTCAACATCCACCTGATTGATAATCTAACACTATTTTAAAACAACCAAATAAAACATCATCACCCTATGTTCACCATGCCACAAAAGTCAGTCAAACAGAATGGCACTTTCCCGGGGATCATCAAATCACCCCAGCACTGTAGCATTTCCTTACACTTCCTGATAGGAAAAGACATCAGGCTATCAAAAGTACTGGCAATGATTTAACAAAAATAAATACAAAAGTAAACATTTGGGGGCTGGAGAGAAGGCTCCACAGTTAAGAGTTCTTCTAGCTCTGGATGAGGACCAGAGTTCAGTTCCCAGCACCCTTGAGCTCCAGGGGATCTGACACCCTCTTTTGGGCTCTGAAGGTACTTCTTTTACACATGTGCAA